TGGAGAGAAGCTAGACAGGAGGCAGGACATCAGTTAGAGGAAACCAGCGGAACAGTCCAGGTATAAGTCACCGTGCCTGAAGTCTAAGGCATTGGCTATGGGAATAGACAGGAGGGCATGAACTGAAATATATATGAGACACATTCTGAAATATCTGGATTGGAGAGGGCCTGGGATGAAGGAAGGAAGAACCGATGTTTATGTCTTGTGTGACTTGGTGGATTGTGCATGCGTGTGTTGGCAGGTGCGATGGGCTGGGGATGGGAATGTGTGTTTGGAGCGAATGAACTTCATCTTTAGGAACTGTCTAGTTTGAGATGCCTGTGCAAGCAGGCAACCTGCACCACCTCCATCTTTCCCACGTAGGGCCGAAAGGCCCTGGTGTCAACAGTTCAGAGAATTCATTAATTCAAGGCCTGATGTATGTAAGATTACTCCGAAAGACAGCAGAGGGGAGCAGCCAGTGTGTAGAAACAGAAAACGTTAGGGGTTTTGTGGCAGGCACGTTAGGGGCTCTGTGGGGCACGGAAAGGTGGTACCAGAGATGACACCTGAGGCATCATCTGAGCAGAAGTCCTCAAGTGGGTTTTGAAAGACGCGAGCGTGCCGAGCACCACAAGGCATTCCAAACGGAGAACTAAGACGTGCCACGGTGGGAGTGAGCATGCCAGCCTGAAGCTACATCATCAGGCGCAGGGGTGGGAACAGCAGGGAAAGGCGGGCGGAGGCAGCCAGCCGGGTTCCCGGAGGCGCCGGGCCGGGGCCGGCAGGAGCCGCACCCGCTCCCTCCCGCGCTCGCCGCCTACCTCTGCAGCCACGCAGCTGCCCTCGGTGTAGTTCTCGGAGATGAGCTGATCGAAGAGCAGGTGGATCTCGGTGCGGGCGGAGCTGCTGTCATCCGGGCGCAGGGCGCAGAGCCTGGCAGACAAACGGCGGAATCCACTGCTTCCTTCAGGGGTTGCTTCCCGCGGCGTCTCCCGCGGCTGCCGGCAAGGCACGGAGCCCGCGACTTGCACGGCAGCCATCTTTCCCAGGTTGGGTCTCACAGAAACACTTCCGGGGCATCCTCCCGCTCCGCGCGCTAGTTCCGGAAGTGCCGTTTTTAGGCGGGACTGAGACGCTTCGGGGTTTCCATGACTACGAGACCCCTCCACAAGTACCCTGCAAACGCTCGTCAGAAAATTGGCTTGGAGATTTTTCGCCGGCCACACCTTCTTGATCCCTGACTGAAGAATGAGTTGTCAATTTTGTGCTTCCAGAAGTTTGTTCCTGGGCAGGGCTGAAGTCACTCTGTTGAGTGCTCGTTTCAGATCGGGGCTGGAGTTGGAGAGTCTGTGCTGGGGTTTCGGACCGGGGCTGGAGTTGGAGAGGCTGCGCTGTGGATGGCAGTAGCAGGAACGGCTCATTCTAAGACACCTTTCTAGTCTTTCAAACTCTTTCCCCAGGCACAAAACCACCCGGGGTAAAGACTACATTTCCCAGCATTCCTTGCAGCTGGCTGTGGCTGTGTGACTGCAATGGGGCCAGTGGAAGACGGGGCAGCTTTCCTTACTTAAGTGACAGCTAGCTGCCTTTTTGTTCCCTTTTCTCCTCTGTTCCCAGTTTGCATCCTCTCGTGGATCACGGGGCACCTCGCCCCACGAGAAGAGTACTTTTGGAGTTCAGCTGAATTATGTAAAAGTATCTGCCTAAAGGTGACTGGGTTGAGATGAGACACCCTAAGATTTTCTGAAACCTTAAAGTCAAGAATCTGGAGAATAAAATAGACATTTAAAAATCTGTGTTCAGTTAGTTTTCAGTCATCCAGGAAGTCAAGGCTTGACTTTCACAGTTAGGCAGTTTGGGAACACCATCTCTAGGGCCTTTGAGTTATGCAAATATAAAGCAAATCCTCACCCCTGGCTCTTAGGGAAAACCTTGAAGTCACCTGAAGGTAGATTTTATCCTGAGAATAAAACATTTTTGTTCAGCAATGAAAATTGGGGGTATGCCTTAGCTGTGCTAGTTTTCTGAAGACTTTGGGCTTAGGGAGAAAGGTTAATTTTTTTGTTCGGATTTAGATTCCATTTTTGCTGGTAAATTATTTCCTATTCTTGGACTGTGTATATATGTGTGTTGTATATGTGCATATATGTGTGTGTATTCATGTAAAGAAATTTATTCAAGCATTTGTTCAGAGATCAGAAGCTAAAACCTAGTCACTGGATATTTTAATCTGGATTCCCTGAAAGCAGAGCCTCTGATGAGGTTGATAGGTGAGGGGTTTATCCAGGAATGAACAGGAAAGGAAGGAGAATCAATACCAGTATGTGCTATTGAGTTGGCCATTGCAAACGGTGACTGTTCAGTCCTCAGGAGTTTCTGAGAAGCCTTGTGAAGCTCTCAAAACCCTTCTCCGGAGAGGAACAGAGAGGGGAAGCATTTATCTGTCAGCTTTTGATTTCTGTTATCAAAGTTGTCCACCAGGCATTAATTCACTGGTGTTCCTATGTTGAGCATGCATCTTGCTTGGTTCCAGCAGGAATCCTATGTTGCATAGTCAAGAAGCCCTGAGGCAAAAGTAAGGAGACAAGGGTGCATATCTGAGGCAAGGCTCTTACCAGTTATACCTGTGCTAAGCCAGTAAGTGCCTGAGATAAATTAGTTGCTGTAGCAGTGGCTAGAATAAGAATGTAATACCAAGAGTAGGTGAAGTCGTGCTAAAGAGATATCTAACACATTGGGCTAGAAGGATGTGATGCCTGGTCATTTCCACAATGGAGGTGGTTTGAAGAGACTGTGGGAAAGATCTGGCTTTGGTGTGGTTCATCTTAAGTTGCAACATGGATGACATGCATAGTGAGTTATTCAAGGTGGAATGGCACAGGAATTGTAAAATACGGTATACTGATGCTGGTCTGTTGAGTTCCAGTAGAATATACCCTTGTGGATTAGTGTGGTTCCTCTAAGGAAATGGACATCCCTGCTCTGCAGTGATCACCAACTGAAGGAAACATATCTCAAGCTCTGAGAGGGGGCTTTGAAGGCACTCTGCATTAACTTGTGTTTAGAGAGTAGCACTTCTACTCCCACCTCCTACCCTGAAACTGTGGAAACACAGCATGGCAAAAGCTCTCTCCCAAGAAAATCTCCTGTCTCCTCCTAAATTCTCCGTATTTTCATAGTCCTACAGTAACTGAGGGGCTTTAAGGGGTGCTAAGCACTTTCACAGTTATTTCCTTTGTTAGATTCTGCATCGGATGATCAAGAACCTCAGTGGAATTACACTCCTTTCACGTTTGGAAACCTCTCAGGACTTCATTTTTATCCCTTCATGAGAGTCTGGTCATTATAACTCACGTAGGCTTGCATGCCCCCACTTCACTCTAATTCACATCTTTGATTGTTTCCTTCAGAAAATTTACCATAGCCTGTAGTTATCTTATTTGCTTACTTTCTCATTTATTGCCTCTAGAATGTTAACTTTATGAGGGCACAGATCCCATTTTTCTCATTCACTGTTGTATCCCAGGGCTAGCACAGCCCCTGGAATGTGGTGGGTACCCCCACAATACTTGTTGACAGAATGAATGAATTCACTAATTATTTATTCAGGGTCCCGTATTTGCAATTGGTTGATGTGAAAATCAAATGGGATTTTTGTGAAAATGCTTTGTAAACTCTAAAGTTTTATACATCTTAGCATCAAATGAAGTAGATGTGATTATTTCCCCCTTTCACAGTTGAGAAAATGGTGCCAAAGAGTGTAAATGGTTGGTCAGGTCTCCACAGGCAGCAAATTGGTTGAAATCAGATTGCAGCCCAGGCTGGCTGTGATTGTGAAGAACATAGACAAGAAATTTATAAACCCATTTTTTTTTACCTCCCACATTTTGTAATGGGGAAAACCAGAAGAGAGGAGCTTGATTTCAGTATCCAGGTGACATATGGAACCAGGAGAGGCTAGGAAGGACGCTTGGCCTTGGGCTCTGTTTCAGGGTCATCAGCCTATTTGGTAACATAGCAGTCCCCACTTATCGGTAGTTTCACTTTCAGCCTTTTCAATTACCCGTCGTCAATCACAGTATGAAAATATGAAATGGAAAATTCCAGAAATAAACAGTTCATACATTTCCACTTGCTGCTGTTCTCAGTAGTGTGATTAAGCCTTGTGCCATCCCACTTTATTCTGCCTGGAATGTGAATCATCCTTTAGTCAAGCGTATCCATGCCTTATATGCTACCTGCCCGTTAGTCACTTAATAACCGCCTCAGTTATGAGATCCACTGTCCCAGTGCTTATGTTCAAGTAACCTTCATTTGGCTTAATAACGATCTCAACGCATGAGAGTAGTGATGCTGGCATATTGTTCTATTTGTTCTATTTTATTATTAGTTATTGTTAATCTTTTACTGTACCTAATTTATAAATTACAATTTATCACAAGTGTGTATTTATGGGAAGAACACAGTATATATAGAGTTTGATATTATCCACGGTTTCAGCATTCATTGGGGGTCTTGGAACATATACCCCGTGGATTAGGGGCACTACTGTGCTAATAATTGTAATTAATACTTACTGAATGCTTTCTGTGTATCGGCACTATATGTGACCCTCTTATCTTTGTAGCTTTGTGAGGTACTATTATATATATATGAGGAAACTGAATCACAGAAAGATGAAGACTCTCACTGAAGTCCCCATGGCTGTGTGGTGGGCCTGGGTTTGAAATTCAGAGTCAGGGCTCCTGACCACTATGCTGTAATGCACAGGCCTTATATGGCATTCGACGTGATTATAGTTTAGGCACTGACACTCATCTGCTATATGACTTACCCCAAAGCTCAGTATCCTCAAATGGTGGTGAGAAGAAGTGCAGTCAAAAGATTGTTAAGTTTCCTTAGATAACGCCTGGGGAGAATTTAACACGTCCTTGTCGATAGTCAATACTCAAAAATGTCATCTGTTCGCCTCTCCCTCCTCCTCACCTTTAACCAAATAACTAAAATATAGTGAGTGCTCTTAACAGTGATGATTTATTAAAAGGAACAACCTCTCTCCCCTTCTTCCCGTATTCCTTGTAGTCTTCATCCACAGGCTTCCCATTTTCATCCATCTTCCTAGTTAAGGAGCGCCAGACAGTCACATCTTGGAAGACAGGAACTCCAGGAAGGAATGATGATCTTAGAGAAAGATGATCCTTAAAATAACTCTTCATCTGAGAAAAAGACAAAAAAATTATGGCCGAGACCTGCTGTTTGGGGGACCCGGGTCCACAGAATACAATATAGAAGGAACGGTTCCCAGTTTGGCAAATCACACCTGCAAAGAGCCAGCCAGGCCCTAAGCACCTGGGTGTTGCAGGTGGATTGGCCAAATAATCTGTTCTGAACACAAAGGGTTTTTCTTTAAAGCATACGCTGATTCTGTTGTGTTTAGTGCAACTTAATTTAGCATCAAAACTGAATTATGGTAGCTTTTTATTATACTTTTTTTTTTCAATTAATGGCTACTGAAAACAAATAAATTTTCATGTGAGGCCCCTGAGATGTTTTCACAGAAAAGAGGTTCTTATAAGTCAACATGGCAATGTACATCACAAACTTAAAATGAATATACTCTTTAGTCGTCAATTTTACATCTTAGAATTTGTCCCAAGGAAGTTAATAAGTTTACATACACCAATTTAGTATTTGTTAGACTCATATTCATAATATCAAAATAAGAGATATCTTAAATGTGTATCAATGGAGGTTGCTAAGTATATGAACATAGATGATAAACTATAGGCTATCAAAGATGGGGGGATAGAAGCATTGGTATTAACATTAAAAGTTGTTTGGTAGCTATTTTTAAGTGAAATAAAAAATAAAAATAGACACAAAATTATCTCATTTTTGTATAAATATTATATATTTGTGTGTGCATTTAAAATATGCACCGAAGTGTTAGACAAACATTGTTTTGGGATGGGGGATTATGTGTGACTTTTATCATTTTGCTTAAATAAATAGTCTGATTTTTCTCCAGTATGTGCTGGGTTAGGGAATTATTTTAAAGGTCTGGAAACCACCAGCCTGTGATGGATGCATCTTTTTCTTGGGAAGGGTGGGTGAAGACGGAGACAGGTAGTTTTCTCTCCTACTCATTTCTGAGAAGTCCCATTGAAGCCAAGGGCACAACCTACCTAGACCGGACAGTGTTTGGGAAAGCAGGGAGGGCCTGGTGTTTCAACCCATCCTTACTGTGCAGCACACACATGGCCACACCCATTGCTGACACAGGTCTCTCCTGGGTCACAGTCCCAGTCACCGCTGCAGAGCTCAATGCAGATACCTACGGAAGAACAGACGGGCTGAAAACCACCCTACTTTTGGCACAGGTGCTGGGGAGAACAGCCCTTGATTGAGAAGTCGATGCCACATTTTTCTTTTCATTTAATATGCAATGTAATTTATTACTTGCAGAATAATACTAACATCTTATATATTCTAGTTAAAAGCAATGCATTCACATAACCTCAAAAAAGTAAGGCCCACTTTAGAGATGGGGAAAATCGTGTCTGTGGAGGGGAAGTGCAAAGAAGCCCACTTAAATAGCTTCACTTTCCACACGGCAGGGAATTGAGTGGAAAAGAGACTCACATTTACCAAGTGCCATTGCAGGTCCCTTGCAGTCACCCCATGCAGTGAGCCTTAATAGGCCCACTTTACAGGTGTGGCAGCTGGGGCTCACAGCGGTGACTTCCTAACCAGTGGGTACAGAGGTGAGATTCAACTCAGATTGGCCTGGCCCCTTGGTCTGAGCACCTTCTGCTGTCCCTCGTGGTGAAGCTCATCCTGACATAAGTGCAGACCTCTACATTTCAAGGAGCCATTCCTGACCTGAGTGGAGGCTCCTAAGCTCCCAGAACCTCAAGCTCTTTGAGGACCAATGAAGTAGGTTCAAAGAGTTGGTTAAGATCGCACAGGCTTCGAGGAAAACACACAGAACTCCGGATGGATATGTACTGTACTTTGATAGGCTCCTCAGCTGTTATCAGGAATTTCTTTACCTGATTATGTCTCTGGACCTTTCTGGGACTTTTCTCATCTGTAAAAAGGGGCCCCAGGGTTCAGCAGGGGTAATGAGTTTTATTCTCCATTGTCAACTTCAGTCAATAGAAGTGGCTTTCTGATGCTGTGGTGAGAAGGCTCAGACACCTTCTCCAGGCTGAAAGAGAAAGAGTGCTAGGACTGATGAGCAGTATCTGAGGGCTGCAAGAAGGGGGCCTGGTGGGATATCTTCCATGTAGTTATAGACCTCAGGGAAAATCAATACCATCCCCCCATGCTTCCTGTAGCCTTTTTTAAAATTTGTGGTGAGAAGGCTGAAGACCCCTCTTCCCCACTCACAGCAGCGTGACTTATTAAGTCAAGAATATATACTTATTAAGTATATATATGTTGAGTTCTTACTATGTATAAAACAGAGGAAATTATTCAGCAAATACAAAGATGTAAAACAAACAGCTTAGAGTCTATGGTTAAGACATATTCAAAGTACTAAAAACAAAGCATCATGTGACAAATGTCCTGAGAGAGGCATAGCTGAAGAATTAAAGCATCTCAGCTGGGCGTGGTTGCTCATGCCTGTAACCCCAGCACTTTGGAAGGCTGCAGTGGGAGGATCACTTTAGTCCAGAGATTTGAGACCAGCTTGGGTAATACAGTGAGACCCAGTCTCTACAATTTTTTTTTTTAATCAGCCAGGCTTAGTGGCACATACATGTGGTCCCAGCTACTTGAGGGGCTGAGATAGAGGATCCCTTGAGCCCAGGAGGTTGAGGCTGCAGTGAGTCATGATCATGCCACTGCACTCTGGTCTGAGCAACAAAGCAAGATCCTGCCTTAAAAAAGAAAAAAAGAAAAAAAAAAAGACTCAGAGAAGATGACATTACTTCCAATTAGATTAATTAGAAAAGGTGAGTTTTGAAGTGCAGGAATGTTTTAAAGACAGAACTGAGGGGCATGGGTGGAGTGTTGTGAGAAGAAAGAAGGATCACTAGCAAAAGTTCACGAGGGAAACCGCAACAGGGCCAGGATTAGGGTGAGGCAAGTGAGGTGCCTAGGGCACTCGATTCCAGGAGGCCGTTGCACAACCCTGACGGTGAGCACCCGTTTAATGTTTGCACCCTGGGTACCTCATCCACCTCACTCTTCACCCTGACATACAAGGAACACAGGCAGAATGGTAAATGGAGGGCTGGGTGAGTGTTAGGGAACAGCTGGAAATGAAGCAGGAAAAGGAAGCAGAGGACAAAGGTACAGGGCCAGGAAGATCTCGAGGGCCTCAGGACTTGGATTTCATTTGCTAGATCAAGAGAGGGATGTGACTGCTGTTCAATTAGGAAGATTATTCTGGTGTGAGAACCTAGAGTGGAATAGAATTCAACAAGCAGAAAGACAGGGGCAGGGACAGCCGTCAGGAAGCTCCTGGGATGGCCCAGACAGAGGTCATCGGGGTTGGAAACACTGAGTAACAATGGGAGGTGGCCAGGGAAGGAAAGAACATATGTAAGAGACACTTTCAGAGAATAAACAATATTTGGCAACCAGTTTAATGTCGGGGCAAGGAAAGCAAAGAAGAGAGGAAAGTAATAACCGAACCCAATAATGTTTAGAGAGAAGAGTAAAATACCATGAAAGATAATGCAGGGGAAAAGAAAGTTTGAGGACCAAGGTGGTGGCCAGCAGTGCCAGACACTGCAGAGGTGAAAGACTTGACATCTGAGGAGTCATGAGATTTGTCCACAGGATCTGGGGGGACATTTCCGGATAGTGATGGGGCAGGGGTGGAGGGATCAAGGAATGACTTACGGGGAAGTGGGGGCAGAGAACTAAGATTACTCCATTGAGAATGTTGGTGAAAAGAAAAGAGATTGAGATGATTAATGTTTAACATGATTCAGAAAATATTTTCTCTAGGTGATCCAGTTTATTTGTAGCAAGAGAGAAAGAAACTGATGGAAAGGGAGTTGGTGGGAGTCAGAGGGTGGCTGATGAGGGGGTGAGGGGAGAGGTGCAGAGAGTCCAAACGGAGCAGTGACCCAGGGGAAGGACTGGGGGAAAGTGGAGGTGGCAGAAAAGAGATTCTGTTCTGGGGAGCAGAGTAGCGGCAGTGGGGGGGGGTCCGTGCAATGGCCCTTTAAGATCTTTTCTTCACTCTTTTCTTCCCCTCCCCTCCCCAGCACCCACCGGTCCCTGATGTGCTACTTTCTAGCCCCCCTCATTCAAGGAAAACTGAACAGCGCTGTCTTCTGCCTGGACTCACCAAAAACCTCCCTCGATCTCAGTGCAGCCTGAAGCTCTTGTACCTCTAGGCTAAAGATGATAAGGATCACAAGGAGGAGGAAGGCTGCCACCTTCATGTTGCTGTTGGAAGGCCTTGGAAAAACACAGCAGGGCTGAGAGCAGCTGAAATTTATACCTTTCACCTGCTGAGCTGGAATGCAAGGCCAGGGGTGGGACTAGGGACTGCAGAAGCCTAAGCCCTGCCCAGAAACTGACATGTCCTGGAGAAGCACTCACCCATCCTGTGTACCCTGGCTCCTACCACGTTACCTAAGCAAGGTTCTGAGCCAAGGGAGCACCCTCCTCTGACAGACAAATAAGACTCCTACACCAGGTTGGGTGCAGTGGTTCACGTCTGTAATCCCAGCATTTTGAGAGGCCAAGGCAGGAGGATCACTTGACCCCAGGAGTTCAAGACCAGCCTGGGCAACAAGAGCAAGACCCTGTCTCTGCAAAATAAAATTTAAAAAAATTTAAATAATGAAAAAGACTCTTAAATCAAAAAAGCTGTGAGTGACTGAGAAAAAGGGGTGGGGGTGGGGAGGGTGGAAGGATGAGTATTAACTTTTATTATGTCATTCATTTTCAACATAAGTATTGAATGTCTGCTCTGGGCCAGGCGTGGGCTAGGCGTGAGAGAATTCTAAAGAGAAATTACAATCTAGGAGCTAGGTGCCAGGTAGCAAGAGTGCAGTCTGCTCTTTCCCTTCTTCTCCCAGCCCACCGCACGTGCTCACCTCCCACCTACAGCTTCCAGGCCTAGCACCTCTAGAAATGAGGGCAGGGAGAAATGGTACAGAGCAGGCAGGCCTGCTCCCTTATCACCTGCTAGTGGTGGAGACGGTGCCCTGAGCCTCCCTCTGCCTTGGTCTCATTCTCTCTCCTGCTGGGCTCCTATAGGTCTTTGTCTATAGGAGCTATGTGATTTTCTTGGGCTAAAGCTCTGCTTTATCTCATCCAACTTCATTTCTGAGAACCCACACTTCTGTTACGCATGTTAAACTCCTAGGATGTCTCTCATCCTGTAGGTCTGGGGTGAGAGTGGGGGTGGGACCAGAGTGAGGAGTGAAGTTTCATTTCCTCCTCCTCGTAGCACTCCGAATCGAGATGAATGATTTTCTTAAACACACACTCCACTTGTTTTGTTTTGTTTTGTTTTGGTGGAGGAGCCTAAGGGGGAGGGAGACATATGCCCTCTTCCCTCCCCAGTGACAAGGATGGGGAGAGACATGTATAACTTTTGGCTAGGTGCCCTGTGTCCCACAAGATACGTTATATAATGTGAAATAAGGAGGATACCTGGGCTGGTTGAGGGTAGGGAGACAAATTTGCAACTTTGGGAAAGGCCCTTGGGCCACTTTCTAAAGTTGACTTCACTTTAGAAAGTAGAGTACTCGATGTTTCACTTCTGGTTCCTAATTCAGGGGCTACAGGGAGAGACCCACTCTGTTTTACTTCATATATCACAGTTCCTGAAATGCTACTAGTTAGAGGTCCTTTGGGCAAACAAAGGACCTTTTGATCTTTTCTGCAAGTCCTTATTTAACAAGACCCAGCCTAAATATCACCTCCAAAACATTCCTCAACCCCTACTTCTAGGACAGTGACATTCTTTTAGTACTTATCTTGTCATAGAACTTATCAGACTATATTGCAATTAATTATTACTGTCATTTTCCATTTCACTCCTGTATCTTGATGGCTAGGATGGGGTCTTATTTATCTTTCATCCTCAGTGCTCAATAATGGGATTTATTATCCTCAATAATGTGTGTTTTGAGGAGGATGAGCAGCATTCAGAGAGCTATTGTCATTAGAAAGACACCTCACATACTTTCCGGTACAGATAGGCATGGTTATTGCCATGGGACAGTTGAGGAGAATAAGCCACAGAGAGTTTTAGTAGCCCCAAATAATAGTTAAATGGCAGAACCACGATCAAACTCCAAAGACAGTGGTCTTAACACATTACTGTCAGGCTACATCCAAATTCTTAGAAAATAATTTGGACTTACCTCTGGCTACAGATACATGAGCTTTTGAGGTCACAGAATTCTGCTTTATCTCATGTGGCATTGGCAATCATGATTTCATTAGCATGAAAAAAAACTGCTTTGAGCTAAGCAACTCACTGTAGAGGCTTCTGAGTGCTCGATTAGATTAAAAGTAGGTATCATCCACCCAACACTGTTACTTTGGCTTTAAGTGAGCCAAAGCCCGTGGCCCTTATTGCTGGCTATTTACTAAGGCTGTTTCAAGGTTGTGAAAATAAGCCTGATTTAAGTATAGGACAGTGACTGAGAGTGAAGACCCCAGAGAATGACATATCTGGTTTGCATCTGGCTCCACTACTTGCTAGCTGTGTGACCTTGGGAAAATTAACTTCCCATTCTGAGCCTCACTTCTCTTTTTTGTAAAGTGGGGATCATAATTCCTACTTCAATGTTGGACAGAACAAATTACCATATATGTACACATCCATACCCCTGGCACGGAGCCCTTAGCACTAACAGCTACTATTCTTATGAATTTCTATGAAAGGGGATGCACGTCTTTCTATTCCCTAGAGCAGGGCTCCTATAGACAGCTCATGCAAAAGTGTATCATTTCGTTAAGGAAATATTTCAAGATAAAGACAATCAGAACCTGTCCCTATTTTATTCTGCTGGATATTGGAAACTGAACCATGAAGAGACTCTAAGGCCGAAGCTGGTATTACTGTGACTTCCATAACTCTATGAGGGCTCATGATTCCCATATGGAGGTCAGGAAGTTTAGTATGTGACCAATTATGCCTAAAGAATCATTAGCCAGGGGAAGGTCAATAAAATCACAATCTTATATAATTTCCTCACCAGGTGACAAAGAGCATAGCAATTGTCTGCAGGGGACTGTCACCACCTGAAGGGCTCCTACTCCCAATGAGAGCCTTTACAACATAAGAGGGTCATTATCAGCAATGACTTGTGAGTACTCAACTGTTCCAAATATCAGCTCCGCTGCTCCCAATGCTCTGAAACTAGAGCGTGAGACCAAGGCCTGGGTTTCTGGAAGGGGCCTGCCACAGACAGCTAAACACTACGATAAGCAAGTGTCCTTCCACCTACACCCCTTCATCTTGCACCAGATCTAGATAGTGTGGCAGGTAAGCCTAAGAATCTGAGCTCAGGCAGCAGATCACTTGGACTCAGATCCTGACTTCAACTTAGTAGCTGCATGACCCGGGACAAGTTGTCTAACCCCAACATCATGTTGCTGGGTGACATTTCCTTAGATGACAACATAGATGGGCAGAGATGGGCTAAGATTTATGTCTTCCCTCCCAGCATGTACATCCTGTGTCATGACATGGGTATTTGGAAGCTTAAGCCCCAATAGGAAGCTGACCTTTCTGGATTCTATAGACCTGTGCTTAGCATTAAGTGTTTTCAAACAAGCTCTCTAAGCCAAGGGAAATAGCTTCTTCCTCTTAATAATTCAGACTACTAAAAAATGGTGGCCACTTTGAATGACAGAGAAATGGAGAAGGGAGCAAGGAACTAGCATATACTGGGCAAGTCTATGTGCCAGATTTTAGCCCCTCCCCCCATCTAATCTCTCCACCTCCTTTTAAAGGTCAAAAACATTATCAGAGGTTGTCTTCATTTCACACATGGAGAGACGGTAGCTTGGCCAGGGTTATACAATTTAATTCCCCAAGTCTTTCTGACTTCAAATTCCAAGCTCTCTCCCTCACAAGACACTGTTTATGACTTTTCTTTACACACCCCCATTTACCAGATTTTAGATCCAGATACTGAACGTTCCAGGCCTCAGGTCTTGGCCTAGGAGCAAGGACTGGCATTCTCTCTTCTTCCCCAGTCTTCACAGAATTCCTCATTCAGTCACGCTATCTGAAATGTTAACAAGTGGAGCCTTCCCAGGGTAAAAAGCCTCCTGCCGTGTTCAGATGTGTGGGGGAAATCCCATATTTGATTATAATAACATTTGACTTCCTCCTTCCAACTTGAAAAAATCTCGAACTTCTTGTATTACAGGTTCTCAGAAGGGTTGATCCGTCTTTTGTAACTAAGTTTTTATTTCTCCTTTTGCAAAAGCTGCTGTAAATACCAGCTCTGCTGCTCCGTAGGCTCTGAATGTTCAGAATGACATTCGCCTTACGAGGATGACTCTGTAGAATGCTTGACCACTAAGTTTGGTAAATAGCTGGTCAGTCTTTTTCACTTTAGCCACCGTTGGGGAGGCAAGCCTCTGTGTGAGTGGCGGAGGCTGCTGGCTCTTTACCAGACTCATTGCTTCTTTCCGAGGACACAGTAGCTTTCGCTTCCTAGCTTCCTTTGCCATTGGTTTGCTACGGCCATGCAATGGAGTTCTAGCTAATGGAATATAAGCAGAAGTGATGCACTTCACGTCCAGGGTGAGGTCCCTAACTCCCTTGCTCCCCATGCACGACCTTCCGCTCTCTTCTTCCTACCGCTAGCATGAAGCATAAGTTCTCTTGGAAGCTACGTGTGGAAGCTGGTGAAGACTCCAAGATGGAAGGAGCCTGGTCCCGGAATCACCACTTGAAGGAAACCTGCTTGCTGTTCAAGTACACTCGTTTTGGATTTCACACAGGGAGGGATAACCAGTTACACCAGTAAGATCTGGGTTTGCGACCCCTTAGCTGACTAACAGAACAACTGACCCTCTTATGATCCCCTAGCTGACTGACAGATTCACAATAATGATTGTTGTTTTTAAGTCACTGAGCTTTGGGACAACTTACTTTTGTTGCAGCAGCTAATTAAGACAATGCAAATTCTCATTAGTTGGATCACATTGACAAGTCACTCTAACCTCTTTCTTCTACCAACACCACCACTACCACCACTGCTGCCGCCTGCCACTGTACTCCTAAAGAGAGTGGCTACTTTTGTGGATCCTTCATTTCTTGAAGTCACTATGTGGAAAGCAACTCCATGTTGGATGTTAACGTGCCGTGTTGACTTCAGGTTAACCTCTGCTCCGGGAAGGCCATTAAGATTTCCAGTCTGTCTATTGTTCCTTGTGTAAGAGCACATGCTTACTGTAAATCAGGCCCTTGGGTCAAAGCAACTTTGATGTTATCATACTTTAAATTGTCCTGAACATCACTTCTGAATCACATATGCCCTTTCCCTGTGGTATATAAACCCTGGGTCTTTGGGATAATGGTGCAGGGATCCACCATCTCGTCTCTCCACCACCAGAGGCACAGATATGGCTTCTGTTTGTAAGT